GTATCATAAGCACAGGATATTAAAAGATGCTCAAGATATAGACCTTAGTCTCAAGAGATAATATTGGTGAGAGGTTTTTAAGTTTGACTGTATTCTTTTTGGTTGATAATTTGTTTTATCTTTGGTTTTATTTTAGTTTTCCTTTTTTATATTACCTTTATTTTCATCTTCCTAATAATTCTAACCTTATTTAATATGTTTAATTAAACTTTCTTCATTAAAAATGTGCTTCTCTTCATTTCATTTCCATTTAGTTATTCACTCATGTCTTTATGTGCTCATAGAACAAGTATTATTGATGGTCATTTTATTCTACATGCTATTCTAGATTCTGAGGATTCAGTGAATTGGGACAGTGATTTTATATCAAGGTACCAAATCTATCACTATTGAGTCAATTCCAACTCATAGACAGTCTGTCTGTACAGCATAATAGAATTGCCCATGGTATTTTCAGGTTGAGAAGCCAAATATAAAGGAAAGCATGTTGAAGTGAAAGCTAAACACACAATTTCAAAGGGCAGCTTGGGACAACAAAGCAAAGTATTATAATGGAATATGCAGAAATTTGAAATTGGAGAATAAAAAGGGAAGAACTTGCTCTGCGTTTCTGAAGCTGAAAGAACTGAAAAACAAATTAAAACCTCATGTTATAATGTTGAGAGATAATATGGGCAATATATTGAATAACCCAGAAAGCATCAGAAGAAATGAAGGGAATACACAGAATCACTGTAATAGAAAGACTTGATTGACACTGAAAAATTTCAGGACCATATATATATAAATAAGAGCCAATGGTAATGAAAGAGGAAGTAGAAGCTGCATTGAAGGCATTGGCAAAAAATACGGCTCCAGGAATTGATGGGATATCAATTGACTGATTTCAATTAATAGATGCATCATTGGATGTACTCATCAGTCTATGCCAGGAAATTTGGAGCATGGCTATCTAGCCAACAGATTGGAAGAGGTCCAAATTTATTTCTGTTCTCAGGAAGGGTGACCCAACTGAATGTGGAAATTATTGAACAGTGTCATTGATACCGCATGCAAGCAAAATACTGCTGAAGATCATTCAGAACTAGCTGGAACAGTACATAGGTAGGAAATTTACAGAAGTTCAAGTGATATTTAGAAGAGGCTGTGGCACCAGAGATAACATTGCTGATGCCAGATGGATCCTGGCTGAAAGTAAGGAATATCAGAAGAATGTCTATATGTGCTTTAATGACTATGCAAAGGCATTTGACTGTGTGGATCATGACAAGTTGCAGCTGACATTGAGAAGAATGGAAATTCCAGAGCACTTGATTGTGCTCATGAGAAATGTATATCTGGATCAGGAGGCTATTGTGTGAACAAAGCAGGAGAACACTGCATGGTTTGTCATTGGGAAGGGAGTGAGCCAAGGTTGTATTCTATCTCCATAACTGTTAAATCTATATGCTGAGCAAAGTATCTGTGAAACTGGACTCTATAAAGAGGAATGTGGCTTCAGGATTGGAGGGAGACTCATCAATAACCTGTGTTAAGCAGATGACACAGCCTTACTTGCTAAAAGTGAGGAAGTCTTGAAGCACATATTGCAGATGATCAAGGAATGCAGCTTTCAGTATGGATTGTGTCTCAATGTCAAGGAAACAAAGTTTCTTACCACTGGATTAATAGGCAGAGCCATTATGGATGTAGAGTCATTATGGATAGAGAGGAGATTGAAAATGTCAACAGCTTCATCTTGCTTGGATCCACAGTTAACACTCTTGGTATGAGCAGACAGGAAGTAAAGAGATGCATTGCACTGAGAAAATCTGCAAGTAGAGACCTTTCCAAATTTTGAGGAGTGGTGATATAAGTTTGAGGACTATGGAGTATCTGATTCAGGCCATTGTCTTTCTGATTACTAGCTATACATCCCAGGCCTGGACAATGAATAAGAAAAAGAGTTGATGCCTTTGAGTTGTGGTGTTGGAGAAGAGCACTGAAGATCCCATGGTCGGCCAAGAGAATGAACATATATGTCTTGGAGAGGGGGCAGCTGAAGTGCTCTTCAGAGGCAAGAATGATGAGTCTTTGCCTCACATACTTTGGACATATTGGTAGAAGTGCTATTCCTTGGAGAAGGACAGCAAAGGGTGGAAGGTCTGCGAAGGCGAGGAAGACCCTCAATCGGGTGGATTGACATGGTGACTGCTGTAATGGGATCTTGTGTCTTGGGAAGTGTGAGGATGGGTCAGGGCATCCTCAAATCTTTTGTTTACAGGGTTGATATGAGTTATAATTGACTCAACGGCACCTAACAACAACAAAACAGCAATACCCTTTAAATCTTTAATGGAAACAGCCTACATCTTTCTTCTTTGAAGAAACTTGTGGGTTTGAACTACTCATCTTTTGTAAGCAGTCACATACCTAATGACTGTGCTACCACTTTTAGAAAGAATACAGACAAAAAGTATCTATAAAAATATTACGCAAAGGAATCTAATAGGATACAGATGGAGAGTAAGGAAATAATTTGGTTACTATTTTCTGTCTTTTGAAACTTTGTTTTATTGTAAGATTTTGGTTACATCACCTTTTGAGTTCTCTTTCACTTGACTGTATCTATTCTTATATGGAACAAAATTAATGTGGAAGTAATGAATGGTGTAGGTGTGATTTTTTTATTTCCCATTCCAAAGAAAGGTGACCCAACAGAGTGTGGAAATTGTCGAACAATATCATTAATATCACATGCAAGCAAGATTCGGCTAAAAATGATCCAAAAATGATTGGGGCAATATGTCAACAGAGAACTGCCAGATGTGCAGGCTGGGTTTAGAAGAGGTTGTGATACTAGTGATATTATAGCTAATGTTAGATGGATCTTGGCAGAAAATACCAGAGGAATGTCTATCTCTGCTTCACTGACTATGCGAAGGCTTTTATCTGTGTGGATCATAGCAAGCTGTGGCTGACTCTGAGAAGAATGGGAATTCCAGAACATTTGATTGTGCTTATGTGAAACCTATACTTGGACCAAGAGGCAGTCATCAGAACAGAGCAAGGAGACACTACATGGTTCAAAATCAAGAAGGGGGTCAGGATGTATTTTGTCTCCACACCTTTTCAATCTGTATGCAGAACAGATCATTTGAGATGCTGGGCTGTAAGAGGAGGAAAGTGGCATCAGGATTGGTGGAAGAGTCATCAACAACCTGCATTATGCAGATGACACAACCCTGCTTGCTGAAACTGAGGAGGACCTGAAGCACTTGCTACAGAAGGTCAAGGACTGCAGCCTTCAATACAGATTGAAGCTCAGCATCAAGAAAACAAAGATTCTCATCACTGGACAGCATCAGTATGGATGGGACTGAGATAGTTAACAGTTTTAGTTTACTTGGTTCCACAGTCAACAGTCTTGGTAACAGCAGCCAGGAAATCAGGAGATGAGTTGTATTGGGAAAGTCAGCTGTGAGGGACCTCTCAAGAGTACTGCAGAGCAACGACATCAGGCTGGAGACTAAGGTGCTCCAGATCCAGGGTATAGTCTTGGCAATTGCGTGCTATGCATTGGAGAGTTGGACAGTGACTAGGGGTGACAGAAAGAAAATTGATGCCTTTGAGCTGTGGTGTTGGAGAGGAGTGTTGAATATACCACGGACTGCTAGGAGAGCAAACAAGTTTGTCCTGGAGAGGGTGAAGCTGGACTGCTCCTTGGAGTCAAGGATTCTAAAGCTTCATCTGACATACTTTGGGCGTGTTGCAAAGAGGAACTGGTCCTTGGAGAGGGACATCATGTTTGGGAGAGTGGAGGGACGGCACAGTAGAGGAAGAGTCTCAATGAGATGGATCGATTCTGTGATTGGAGTGCTGGTAGTGAGTGTGTCAGAGACGGTGAGGTTGGCACAGGAAGGAGAAGCATTTCGGTCTCTTGTACATAGGGTCGCTATGAGTCGCAAGCAACTCAATGGCACATAACAACAACAACAACGGTAGACCACAGGACTTGACGTTGTCTGAACATTTTCCTGCAAGTTGCATTTCTTTCCCAGAGGGTTTGGGCATTTAAGGAGGTTTATATTGTTTTAAAGAATGTGTACATAAAATCAAAACCGTTTTCATTAAATGAACAATTCACTTTTAAATATCCTTCTGTTTGCCCTGCACATTGTCAGTTGTTTTCTTAGTTTTTAAAAATTTTAACATATACAACTCTTCAGAATTCTTTGTGTAGAAGTATGTACCAACATGATAACTGATATTTAAGCTTGATGAATATGATTGAAAATTGCATGTTTTCTTAAAGGCTATTTTGAAATAAAGAACAGAGGTAAAATTGGAAGTGTTAACAGAAGCACTAAAATTCAAGTATTATATTTTTGTCTTATTATAGAGGTTTATGAAAATTTAACCATCAGTGATTATATTGTATAGGTATGTATAATCCTGGTCAATGTTGATATTTAAAACAGAAGAAATTTTTAAATTTTGAGAAAATATTGAGTAAAAAGGTATACAGCCAAACCTAGACTGTTTCAACAATTTCTATACATACAATTCAGTGGCATTAATTACATTTTTCTTGCTATGTGCCATTCCTTTTATCCTTTATCAAATTATTCTACAGTCTTACCTTAAATTGTCCTTTAAGCATCTCATCTAACCTTTCAAGTTGCCATTGTCATCATTCACGTTTGATCTCACATGGATAATTCTTTATAAGATCTTAATGCTCAGACTACTAATTCAGATAACTATTCTGAGGGTCTGAAGACTTCTGGGGATAGCTTGTGTTTAATGTTTAATTATCTCAAGGCAGTAGTTTTGGAGGATCATCTTGACTTCTAACTGGCTTTTTGGTTAGCTTCAGAAAACCTGGATTCCATTGAGATTTTAAAATTTTGTTCTACATCTTACTCCTTTTTATCAGGTTTTTGCTATAGAAACAGATAAGCATTTAACATAACTCTGAATAAAGCTGAGAATCTTCTTTTGTGTTCTCATTTCTTAAGATTGCCTACAAGCAGAAGCATGATGCTGCCAAAGGATTTTCAGACTACTCCCACATGAAGGAGCCACCTGAAGTCAAACATGCCATGGAGGTCAATAAACATCAGAGTAATGTAAGGATCCTCATTCATCATTATTTCCCCAAACGTTTCTAGTTAACTCACATCAGAGCTGAGGAATATTTTGTCTTATGTGTGCATTACCACAATCTCTATTCAGAAAGGAAGTTTTCAGGTTATTTCGTTTTTATCTCTGTTTTAAGTCACACTGAAATGAGCTATTTGGTCAGTAGTCATTAAAACCTTGTTGAATGTCTTTGAAATGAAGATATTTTTACACTTTGAAAATTATTTTTTGGACAAGAGAAATATTGATTCTCTGGGAACCTCTATGGTTTTGTTAATAAGTTTAATTGTGTTTCTTAGAGCTTGCTTGTTACTGAAGGCACATGGTTTCGATCTAGAATTGCACTAGAATTGGTAGAAAAACCAGACCCAATCTCAAAACACATACTGCAATCTGTGGCGAGGGAAGAAGGTGTTCTCTTACTAGATTGTGTGTAATTGCTGTTTCTTTAGCCATTTTGCTGGGAGCAGATTGTCAAATCTGGATGCATGGGGAATATGAACGTGACAAAAGTCTAATGTTTGGCCTGGAAGCAGAAGAGTGAGGAAATGAATGGCCTTCTAGAAAATTTATTTCTTTGATTATAAGAACATCCACTTTTTCATGGCTTTCTTCAATTACTACAATACTGGTGACCTCTACGTGACCACATTCTTCTAAGAATTTCTTCCTGAAATCAGAGGGAAACTTATCTCCTAGAGATTTCTTAAGCTGATAATGATTCACATGTTTTCAGTCTAAAACAATATGAACTCCTTAATGTGAATTATTTACCTTCCAAAAGAATGTGGGAATCATTCGACAAGTTCTTTGTGAATTAGTACATTGAGGTAAAGTCTTAGTTGCATCATGAAACCCTTTCTTTGAAAGGTGCCTTGAGACATTCTTGTCATGTGACATAGAGCTTGTCCCTAACACTCCCTCACCTACTAGATGAGACATTTCTAGCTCTCACCCCTCAGCGTCCAGCTGTCTTGAGGTTTTCCCCAGAGTGTCTTTGCAGGTTGGCAACAGCTGTTGATATTCATTTGCAATAGGTCAACATTTAACTAAAAACTGAGTGAAGATTCACCTTCTTTCCCAAATACATAAACACATGGAAATGCCAGAACATTTTTCTAGAATGTTTTCAGATTGATAGGAGATAAAGAAGTTCCAAGTGTTGTTATTTAGCAAAGTGTGTGTGTGTGTGTGTGTGTGTGTGTGTGTGTGTGTG